CAATTGACATTTTTTGTCCAATATATATATATATATATATATATATATATAATTTAAAATTTATGTAATTATATTAAATTTGAATTAAGAATACAAATATATAAAATTAGTAAAACTAAAATTTTGTTTATAATAATATAATTCAAAACTTAACTTAAAAAAGTTTTATTTGTTATATAATATAAAAATGTATCATAGTTTTTTTTTACAAACATTGTGAATATATAAATTAAGAAAACTTTATTTATTTTATTCAGAAATAAATCTTTTATTTTTTATGAGTATACATTCATATTTTAAAATTAAAAACAATAGTTTTCAAAATTTTTAAGTTAAATAAATATATTAATATATTGATCCTGTAGCTCAGTCGGTTAGAGCGTTGGTCTTATGAGCCGAAGGTCGAGAGTTCAAGCCTCTCTAGGATCATTTCATTAATTATTATATATATGATTTTTTAAAATTTTTAATATGTTACAAATTTATTATTTTATTGATAATAATGTATGATTTGAGATATATTAAGTATGATTTGCGATACATTAACTATGATTTGAGATACATTAACTCTTAAAAGGTGAAGAGGATCTAATTTAGATTATTCTAAGAGATAAACAAAATAATAGATGCTAAAAGATTAAGCCAAAAAACAAATTAAAAGACATAGAATATTCTTATGAGCTATCAGTCTTTATTCATACAATATAACAATAACATTTGGATTCACAGTAGTGTTTTTATATAAAAAGAAAGTAAATGATAAAAATGATCGAGTATATAATAATAAAAAAAGAAGATAAAAAGATTACAAATGTATTTGTTTTCTTTTATTAGTCATAAATTTAGTTATATATATATATATATATATATATATATATATATATATATATATATATATAGTAATGATTTCTTTTATATAGGAATGAAAACGAAAAAATGACATCCTAGTAAATAGACTTATAGTATATATCAAAATACAAAATAATTTTTTTAATTCATCTCTTATTTTTATTTTTTAAAATTACGAATATTTTGTTTTTTCATTAACAAATCCCGCCAGCGCCAAATGTCGGACAGGCTTATCTAAAGGACTGACATCACACTCTGTATATGAATTAACAGATCATAGTTTGTTCATCTAAAACAATAATAAAATATGTTTTGTGTTAATAGAATTCAGTTTCCAACATTAGTTGGCGCCGCAATCCTCTCCAGAATTGCACATGCCATGTTTCTCCAAACTATGACTGAGAAGGATTTTAATTTTCCAAAGTATTCGGCCATTTGCATTCATTTTTCATCTACAATTGTTATTTTTATTTTTTTATTTTCATCACATTGATTATATATTTTTTGTTTTTCTCACTTTTTATCTTCACTAATTTGGACATTTCAAATTAGTATTAACAAGGGTACTATAAAAGTGCAAACTACAAGCACATGTTTATATGTTACATACTATGAAGGCCTATGAAGAGCATGTGATATTGAACAGCTTTTGTCTGCGACCTACACCAGAAAATATCCAAGAATCGATTCATATTTAAATGTATAAAAGAAGTCGGAATGAAATGATTGTGATTGAAATTGAAATTGAAGAGCAACTTGTGAATGGCATATTTGCTATTTTACTGCAAACCTTGGTGCTTTTTCATAACAAAGCATGCATATAAGGCCATTACCAGTTCCTTCTCTGCTACAAGCTAATTTTCTCTCCTTCTATCTCTCTCTTCTAAAGATTTATCAGTTTCACAGCTCAGCTAATATGGGAAGGTTCTCGTCTCTTTTGGTGCTCTTCTTTTGCTTCCATTTTGCCTTCTCCTTTGCGCATGGTAAGCTCCAAAGCATGTAGGTAGATAGATAGATTGATAGATAGAGATAAATGTTCATACATTTTCAAAACTGAAGAAGAATGCAATCAACACACTGTCATGACTTGTAACCAATTCCTTTCATAACCTGTTTCAACCAGATTCTATACTTGCCTTAGCAATGTTAAAATGAGTATTTTGGAAAAATTGTGTGATTCAACATCCAAATTATATATTTGTGACTTCAGTACAATTAGGAAGTTATAATCGTAAAGTATACATATATATTCGCCAAAGAAGTGTAGCTAGCAACTCTAGTATTTAAGATTGGTATATCATTGATAATTTCTCTCCTTGAAACCATGTGGTATTGGATAATGCGATGTACACCACATGACATAATAAAAGTTTTGAGATCGGTTCACTATAATAGCAACTTGTCAATTAGTTATAATAGCAACTTGTCAATTTCAAACTAATATAATCTAAAGAATATTCAATCTAGCTGTGGGACTAGTAATCTGCTAGATATTATCATTAGATGTTGGCTTAGACTCTAACACATGATTAATGGATGCAGGATCAGTGGAAAATGGGGAGTTTGAGCTTGGCCCAAAGCCACGGGACTTGAACGGCACGGTGGTGACTGGGGGTCCCCACGCTATACCCGGGTGGGAGATTTCTGGCTTCGTTGAGTACATAAAATCAGGGCAGAAGCAGAATGACATGTTGCTTGTGGTGCCAAATGGAGCTTATGCGGTGAGGCTTGGCAACGAGGCTTCTATTAAGCAAAAGATAAAAGTGGTGAAGGGAATGTTCTATTCTATCACGTTTGTGGTGGCACGCACATGTGCACAAGAGGAAAAACTCAACGTGTCAGTGGCTCCAGATTGGGTGGTTCTCCCAATGCAAACGGTGTATGGTGGAAATGGTTGGGATGCTTATGCATGGTCCTTCCAAGCAGATTACTCTCTGGTAGATATGGTTTTTCATAACCCGGGAACGGAGGACGATTCTGCTTGTGGACCAATCATTGATTCTATTGCTGTCCAAGCTCTCTACCCTCCTAGACTAACTAACAGTACGTCCATTTCCTTAATCAATCACTCTCTATACCTTGACACTGCATCACACACGCACTTATTCAAATTGTTTAATACTGTACACTTGTTATCAAAGAAAGCATAAAAAATAAAAGCAACTTATTGATCAGAATCATTAGTGTGTGGATCATTTAATGAAGGTGTTCTGATTTAACTAATAGTTCTGAGACAAGTTCTAATTATGCAATTTGTTTTCAAGTAATTTCTAGATTGAGTGTTATGCACATTGTTCAAGTAAAACCAGTAATCTTGATAGATAAATCTAAATTTGCAGCTTGTTTTAGAGTAGTTTCTAAATCGAGTCCTTGTTATGCATCTCATTTCAATTAAACCAGAATTTCAAGACCAAATTCTACTTTGTCATGTCATACTTGAAAAAAAAAATATAATTCATAGAACTAATAATTTGCTTTAAAATATCAAGAACTTAGTGTCATTTCTATTTTACAATCCACTTCATTACATTCAAAAGAAAGGTTTCATTTGCTTTTGCTGTTTTCTGACACCAACAGAGAACTTATTGAAGAATGGTGGGTTTGAAGAAGGACCATATGTGTTCCCCAACGCATCATCGGGTGTGCTTATCCCACCCAACATTGTAGACCTCAGTGACCACTCTCCCCTACCGGGATGGATAGTGGAGTCCCTAAAAGCTGTTAAATACATAGACTCAGACCATTTCTCAGTTCCTCAAGGGAAAAGGGCAGTTGAACTAGTAGGAGGAAAAGAAAGTGCCATTGCACAAGTGGCCAGAACCATTCCTGGCAAAACGTATGTCCTCTCCTTTGCTGTGGGAGATGCTGGCAATTCATGCGCAGGGTCACTGAGTGTTGAAGCATATGCAGGCAAAGACAGTGTGAAGGTGCCTTACGAGTCCAAAGGCAAAGGTGGATTTAAACATGCAAGTCTCAAGTTTGTAGCTCTTAGTATAAGAACACACATTGTGTTCCTTAGCACCTTCTACACCGTGAGAAACGACGACCTGGCTTCGCTATGTGGACCTGTGATCGATGATGTAACCTTGATCAGTCTTCGTAAACCATAGGGGATATACCACATTTGAGAATTTGGTTAACTAGCTACTGCAGCGAATCAAATGTAGAATTATGCATGGCTTTTATATTTGGCGTCATGAGGTGTTGTAGTATTTTTGCCTTCTGTTGCTTTTCAAAATTAGCAAAACAGTAATTAAAGATGATGATGATGATGATGATTGTTTCACACCTCAAACAATCTATCAATAGAGAATAATTCACACTTTCTTATGTGAAAGTGGAACACTCTTCTTTCTAATTCTTTCAAACTAGAGTTGCAATCTTCGGGATGCAAGTTGTCAAATAATTGATACTAATGAGCATGCCAATTGAAAGGTAGCATTAACTTTTTACTTCCCAACTAACCTACTAGTCTAGCATTTTTTTATTTTTGTTGCCACCATACAAATCACAATCTTCCATTTTAGATTAGTATCGCGTGGTTTCAGATATCTCTTTAAATTGGCATTAACGTGTTTTTAAAAATGAATGATGTAATGCAGTTGTAAAAACGAATTAGTAATATAATTACCAACAAAAAGAATCTGATTTTTTAATGGAAAAATGGATTGCAGATTAATTTTTCAAATTAACTTTTGATTAGATACTATAAATTGCTGGTTTTATATAATCAAAATTTAATTTTTATTCACCATGCCATGCATATGAATTAGATACTAAAAACTATTATTGGTTATTTAATAAATAAAAGTAATAATTATTTATTCTGTAAGAAAATCTGAAGAAAAGTAGGGGTTGGGTAGGCACCGGCAGCAGTACCAGGATAACGTGCCAAAGCAATTGTGGGGTGGGGGTGCTGGTATAAAAATTTGAATTTGAGATTGAAAATGTCATCTAATCCAACGGTGCATAATGCTGCGTCATATTGACGCTGGAAGAGTCGCACTTACAAGTTACATCTATATAAACAAACTTGAAAACCCTCCTATAAAACCCTCGCTTCGTCCCTCACTTTCCAACCTCTTCTCCTCACCGCTTCTAAACGACACAGTTCTGCTCTCTACACCAATCAAACCCTTTCTCTCTTCATCATGGTACGCTCTCTTCTTACACAATCACTTGTTTTTCAACTTTTTATTGTAGCTTTTGATTCAAATTGGATCTGTCATTTCCAGGCTTTGCCCAACCAGCAAACCGTGGAGTACCCGAGTTTCAAACTCGTAATCGTCGGTGACGGTGGTACAGGTCTGCTTTTCTTCTTTTTCTCACACTTATTTTCGACGTTTAACCTATGTTTTCGATAATTTAAAGTTAGTCCATTGTAAAGATCTAGGTTATGGCTTGGAATAAGAGCTAATTTGTGATGGAATTTGCAGGAAAGACAACCTTTGTGAAAAGGCATCTTACTGGGGAATTCGAGAAGAAATATGAACGTAAGATTCATTTATAAATAAATTGAGGTTACGGTTGCGCGCCTTACATATTCCAAATTAAACTTATTGTTTATATCTGCTTTTCCATAACAGCAACAATCGGTGTGGAAGTTCACCCATTGGATTTTTTCACCAACTGTGGAAAGATTCGATTCTACTGCTGGGATACTGCTGGACAGGAGAAGTTTGGTGGCCTCAGAGATGGATACTAGTAAGCCATTAGGTCTCTAATTTGTGTGAACAATTGCTGATAAGTTTAACGTTTGCATATGCTGGGATTGGTTGCTCTGTTGATAATTATAGCTGTTTCATTGCTTAGGTTTTATCTGTGTCAGAGTTGGCATTGTAGTTTTACATGTTAGTTACTTGTGTTGTAGTTTTTATTTTTGTTAGGGATAATGTATTAGATATATAGATATTCTAGAATTTCAGAACAGACATGAGGGTTTTAATTTGTTCCCTTGGAAGTGTCTGTCTAAGATTTTATCTATTCTGCTGGATGCAAACTCCTTATGCTTGTTATACGGTGTTTTACGTTACAGTATTCATGGGCAATGTGCGATTATCATGTTTGATGTTACTGCCCGATTAACATACAAAAATGTCCCTACCTGGCATCGTGATCTTTGCAGGTTCGTAAATGACGTCCTCTAAACTATTGTAACTGTGTCTCAATTATTTGGAATTATGTGGTTTATTTGACACCATGGGCAACTTCTGCCCAACTGAATTTTCAGGGTCTGTGAAAACATTCCAATTGTTCTTTGCGGTAACAAGGTTGATGTCAAGAACAGGCAGGTGAAGGCAAAACAGGTTACCTTCCACAGGAAGAAGAACTTGCAGTACTATGAGATCTCAGCCAAGAGCAACTACAACTTTGAGAAGCCATTTTTGTATCTTGCTCGTAAACTTGCAGGGTAGAGCGACTGAGTTTTCACTTATGTTCTATTTACACTTTCAAATGGATGTCAACTTAATTTTCTTTCTGTTTGTGTCAATTTTGCAGTGATCCTAACTTGCACTTTGTAGAATCCCCAGCATTGGCTCCACCTGAAGTTCAAATTGATTTAGCTGCACAACAACAGTAAGCTATCTGCCATGAGCTAAATTGTTTCTCCGATTCCATCATCCTTTTACTTGATTTTTGTTTAATGAATGGCATGATAAGAAAAAGATGTGTTGTTTAGATTTGCCATGTTACGTTTTGAATGAAAAATGCTTTATAAAAGTGAATTTTTACTAACCATAAAAATAGGGAAGTGAGGAGAACTTTCAGACTATGTTAGGAGGGGGAAGACTATGTTACTAGATTTAATTAATCAGGGCGAATGAGATTTGTTTCCCATTTTCAATCCTCCGCCAATATTAACATTTAAACGAAGTAAATTAATTTAGCCTCCATCCGTTGATATATTTTAAATCCCACTAAATGCATTACTTGTTTCACAAAGGTGTTTATGACGTATTATTGTTCTAATATGATATGATTATTCATTTTAAATTTCTTATACTTATCAATTGGTGGCTTTGCAGGCATGAAGCTGAGCTTGCTGCAGCTGCCAGTCAGCCCCTTCCTGACGATGACGATGACACTTTTGAGTAGAGGAGTAGTGTGTTTACGGAACTTCATCCTTATTGTTGGTATTTGTATGCTTAAGTGGTTTTGGGTTGTAGTATTGACATTTTTGGATTTGAAATTGATGTCTGAATTCAATTATCACATTTGTTGCTTAAATTAAAATTTCATTTTTACTATATTGTGGCGTTAGAAAGAAGTGGATTAGTTGCTTCAACAATTTGTTTTCTTTTAATCTAATACGAGGGTGTGCCAGTTCGATCCTTTTCATTCAATTTATCATCCAACAGTATAGTACACAAATTGGTTGCTTTTCATTAATCTGTTAATGAAATCCTTTAAAATTGGTGGTACAGATTGCTTAATATTTGGTAGTTATAGGTTTTCTAATATTTAGACCATAGCAATAAGAATATTGGATCTGATTTTTACAGAATATTAACTGAGTTATCTGATGTAAATGGTTATGGAAATGTAAAATTATTTATGAGTGTAAAATTATATAAGAAAATAGTTCATTTTTTGAGAGATTTTCTAGTATGTTATCATTTAAAATAGTTGAAATATATACTCGTGTAGGTTTTAAACGCACCTTATTTTATCGACAAAATGTCATTGATTAAATTGAAAGGATTAATAATGAAAATACTAAATTTCGAAAAACAAGTTCAAACTGATTTATCTGCGTGTTATTATGGATAGATGAATTGATTTTTAGAATACAATTGGCAAGTCCAATTTAGCTTCCAAAGCATTGGATATGAATATGATATTGCAAAAGCAGAAGGCAGAATTACTAATGTCGGGTGTTGTGCTGTATTTTTTTTTTTTTTAAATTTGTTTAGAGGGCAAATACACTGCAAAAAACATAGATTATTGGGTAAATGTAAAACAATTCTAATTTTTTTTCATCGTAAAAAAAACATATTATGTAATATGTAAATTAACTAGTAAATATTAAGTGGAAGGAAAGGTATAATTAAAAACGGTAATTAAATTGAAATAAAAAATATCAAAAATTCAATACCTAAAAATGAGCTTGTTGCTTTGATGCTGCAGTGTAGCACCTTCATAGTATATAACAACATAAAATAACTTGCAACTTTCCTCTAATCGCCTTCTTCATAGTTAATCTTTCCTAACTAAGCTGATTTATATACACCTAAAGGCACGTGAATACCTTATCTTAATTATGACATTTTGCAAAATTTTCTTTGAGAGCACACTATCTGGAATCGGGATATTTTGGTCTTTTACGGTGGATTTGGTGTGCAGATAAAAAAGATTGAAAAAAAAAAAAAAAAAACATATGGGTGCGATTTGACAACGATATTTCGAAACTAGTATACTAAAAAAAAAGGTAAATCGTGTCATTTATGACAAAATCGAAGAAAAAATTATGTTTTACAACATGATTTATTGATTTTTTTTTTAAAGAAATCATGATATGTGACGATTTTAATAATAAATGTATGATTTTTTTTTGTTTTTTAGAAAATTTTGTTATATAATACGAGTTTAATTAATATTTTTTTACAAATTTCTTGTTATTTTTTTATTAAAATTAGTTTTATAATTTTTTATAATTTATTATAAATCATTATAATTAAAATTGTAATAGAAAATATAAGAATACTTAAAAATAAAATATATTAATATTAATAATTATTTTAATTATGACTCTCCATAAATATTTTTTTGTTTATTTGAATTTGAGCAATTCATTTTGTTGTAGATACGTATTATAGTATATTTTTCTTATTGTTCATATTACATAATTGGGTCCAGAATAAAATTTGGATCAAGAGATCAATAACCTATATTTTGTATTGAATGAAATTGATATTCACAAGTTTTAAAATTCTGTCTAACCTATATATTGGATCAATATATTGGATCAATATATGTATCAATTTGTAAATTACATAAAGAACATACAATAATAACATAGGGGGTAAGGTAATCAAAGAGTTTGAAATTATCCACAAATCACACCATCATTAATGTGATTTCACTGTATATCTTTGGATATGAGATATGTCTGCTTATTGTCAGTGTTATTTGAAGAATGTGTTTGAAGGTACTCATGTCCTAGTCACAATCTTATTCTTGTAAATGTAGTCTTAACTATGGTACTGTTTCTGGCAGAAATTTGATCGATTTCAATTTCTTAGGTTCTAATCAAATTTCAACCACGTAGATTCTTTTTATTTAGGCTAGCGACAATTTTCAATCAAAACGTGTATGAGAATCGAAAATGTCACAAGATCGAGAAATGTTATCGATGCAACTGATCATACAAATTAAAAATCGAAAGTACTATTTTTGGTATTTTATTAAGAAACGCGAAGTAAAGAAAGCAGTAAAAGGTATCGAAAAGAAACAAAAGCAGTGCGAAATATTAGAATACAGGGAATTGTAAATGTGAAAAACTCGAAATTGCATTAAATGTAAATGACAGAATTAAAATTGCATGAAAGTAAATGACAGGACGTCGAAATTGCAGAAACGGTAAATGACAAGCATTTGAAAATACAGAATCTTAAATTGCATTAAAGATAACTGGCAAGTAACTGAAAGTATGGAAACTTAAATTGATGAACATAAATTGCCTGAAAATAAGTTACTAGGGAAAGTAAAGAAAGCGGTAAAAACAGTCAATGAGAATGGAAATCCAGATCGCCAGAAACTTCATGATTCGTCATTCTCCGGTAGACTTTTCACTTGTGTTTCTGTTGTCTCTGCCAATTTCCTCTTTTCCTTCACTCTTCGCTCTATTTATAAAGTCTCCTTCAAGTAACCTCCTGAGAGCAGTTAACGAAAACTGCTACCACGTTCTACGTGCACGTCCCTTGAGGTTTTACTTTAGTTCTACGATTTTAAAAAACTGCTTTCACGTTCCACACACGTTTAACCTGTCCTCAATTTATAACTTAGTCATAATTTCGATAGCCATGTAGCTTAACCATTCCCTTGATCTCGATTTCAAATCTTGAGAATTTTAAATTGTTTTTTATTCCCCTTAACCTTAACATCACACTTGATTCTAATTTCTCGATTTTCTTCAACAATAGACATCAAATATTCTTCCTTCGATTCTCGATTTATGTGTTCATACTGTCTCGTGGTCATCGAATGTCTTCCAACTATCTTTCCGATTTCTCAATTTTTTAACCAATCATATGATCATCGATTTTCTCTCTTCCATTTTTCGATCCTTGTATCGATTTTTCACTAACAAAATGCCCCATTGGAAGAATATAAACATTTGTACCAATTTTATATTCTTTCAAAAATAACTCCCTCCCTTAAACACTCTTGAAGCTCAAAATAACTTTTTAGGGTTTAGGGTTTCTAGGGTTTTTTAGCGATTTTAGGGTTTTTGCTGCTTTATGTCAAATATCAAATCACATCACCTCCCATTATCACAACGTGCATGCCACGTATTAATTACCCTCTTCATATTCGTCGTTTCAAATACCCTAGTCGGCCTCTTTAAATACTTCAATCAATTTTACCCTTGTTTTTTACCAATAACTTAACCCATCTTTCTTCGTCACACCTTTTCTCCGTCTTCACCCTTTTCACAACTGTAATGGCGACTTCCAAATCTTCCGACTTCTTCACCCCACCAATTTCATCAGTAACTTCGACTCTGATAGAGATAAATGGTAAAAAGTTTGCTCCAGTTCCCTTGTTGGAAGAAGCTTCGTAGAAAATTGCCGAGAATCAGGTACTTATCCCTTACGCAGTTGATAACGTAGATTACGCATTTGGTGGTCTCATCCGCTATTGTGGTGGATCGTTTTCTTCTTCTATCTGTCTTCCTTCAGAAAGTAAAGCCTTTATTCATAAATCTGAGGTCCGGATTGATTTTCTAAATGTTGTTTCAAAAGTATATCGAACGGGCCCTCCCCACAAAAAGCCTTTATATATCAGATGGTTTGATAGAGTAAAGACCCAGTTTGGGAATCACTGGAGAGATGTAGTGATTTTCGATTTTCTACATCTATCTCGATGCGATCTCTCATTCTTGGATATGTCTATGTTTTTATCCGCGGTCCATTTATGGAATAAAGATTTACACGCAATGGAGCTCCCTTGTGGTCCCCTTTCTCCCACTCTTTTTGAGGTCGCTGCGATCACCGGATTAAAGCCCACAGGGGAAAAATATTTTAAGAGTGCTTTCCCTTCAGATGACTCTCTCAAATCAAAAATCGACAGGGATTCGAAAGCCTATGGACACTTCATCGAAAAACATTTTATTGATGATCAATCGGTAGCTATTTCTCACGAAGAACATGTTGCTTTTCTGGTGTATTGACTTTGCACCCATGTATTTTGCCCTAGATCCATCCAAATCTCATCCCATTTCTATAATCTTGCCTATCTTCTCCACACTGGTCAACCCCGAGTTTGTTTGGCGAAGCTTTTACTGGCCCATGTTTATACCACTTTCGATGAGGCTGTCGATATTCTGAATACACAAAGACCCTCAGGGAATTTCTTAGGTCGCATCTGGTTCATTCAATTATGGCTCACTTCAATTTTTGAAAGTATCCTTCCCCCAACATCCAAAGTTTCCCCAAGTTTGAATTTAGAAGGTGCTCGATTATCGTCTCGACATTCTCATCAAAAATCCTCCGATGAGGCTAGTTATCGAACTTACCTGAAGTTTTTGTTAACTCGATTTCATTTTGAGTCAAGTCTGACCCCTTTTACCGTATATCATGGAAAAGTTAGTGACAGACTTCGAGGGTCAACCTGGTTTAAATCAAAATTTCCCGCTCTTACTCCAGGGTTACAATCGGAACTAGTAAATGTATGGAGTAACTATTTGACCCAGGACGTTCTTGTATCGGACTTTCAATCGAAGGATATCCAACTTGTCATCTATTATCCTCAACTTTTTTCGCGGCAGTTTAGTTTAAGTCAAACTTTACCTTTTTTCACTCTCGATACTTCCCCAAGGTCCAAGTTAAATGAATCGAATGTAGGATGGGAACTTGCCAAACTGTTACCACAAA